CTGACACTACAGTCCATGTTCAAAATTTTCCAATTGTCCTAATAACATTCTTAATATTACCAAGATGACACATTGCTTTAAATACTGTCTCTTTATTCTCTTTTAACATAGAAGAGTTCCTGAGGCTTCTGTCCTTTTATCCCCTTCTTTTCTTTTTTTTCAGTCTTTTATTCTTTCATAACATTAACATTTTTGAAAAATCCTTGCCAATTGCTTTTCAGAATGTTGTTGTTATTTTAGAATGGGACTTATCGGAAGGTTGTGTATTTTTCTTCAACCAAGTTCAGGGGATTAGATGCATGCAGAGAGTAAGCTCTCCGGGTAGTTAGGTTTAAGCAGAACTGAGTGTGATTGGAAAAAGAGGAGAGAGACGTTAAGGGTTATTGTGAGGGAGTTCTAATGATAAACCATCAAACGTTAAGCGGGTAGGGAGGGAAGTGAGAACATGAGGGGGGTGACGGGTAATGATGATAAATGGGTCATTAGTTGACTGGAGGTCTCTACAAAGTCTCTGTAAAGTGAAGAATTGTATCAGGAACATAGGAAATGTATCTGTGCTTTTTCAATAAATAGGTCTGCTGAAAGCCCAATGTTTATGGATGGGGTAAAATATGGGAAATAGATCCCATACACAAAACTGTTTTATGAGCCCCATCGCTAGGAGAAAAGTACAGCATATATATTATATAAGGACGTGATAAGTCCTTTACCATAATTTTGACTTTATGTCCTTCTAAGAGGAGCGCCCATAATTCTCATACTTTAATATACTCCCAGCATCCCTAGCAGAGAGATGAGTTGATAGACAACTGCCACTCAGAACATTGAAATGACTAATGAAGCCATTAAGCACATCAATGGTAGACTGAGAAGAGAACCAGAGCACTCACATACTGTATTAACCAAGCCAAATGCTCCTCAAATCACACAATGTATCTCGCTACCTAAATCACTGCACGTCAGACAGGCTGTGGTTTAACGGACATCCCCATTTCAATTACTCTACTTTGTGCCTCTTATTCTGTCAAAGTCCAACTTTGATATGAGGAGCTGTCTAGGAAGAGTAAGTTTCCAAAGGTGTGCCCTCAACAAATAATTTTAGAATGAGAAGGTAGGCAGTAACTGAAAGATATTTCTCATCACCTAATTCCAGTGATCCTACGCACAAAGCCAAAGCATTCATGGATGTGGTAAGTACTAGCACGAGCTCCTGGGCGCAAACCTGTTTTACAAGCAGCATTGCATCATGAGAGCAGATTCTACCTGCCTTCATTCACAGGCTTTCTTCACCACTGTCATCATAAGCGAACATTCATTGAATGTCCAGTGTTTTGGCACTAGTTAATGCTCTATTTATACTATTTTTTTTTTCTAACAAAGTGACACAGAATGAAAAAGGAAAATATGAATATTATTCCCTTTTAAAAGAGCTCTCTATGAGAGAGGAGCATAATGACAGGGAAATGGACATTGGAAATTATTTTCTTTCACTTTTTATTAAGAATTTACTGTGATTCTTTTTTGGATAGAATAGCTGAAATAGAACTATTTCAGTTGTGGTGTATGCTAATTAAATCAATTTGCTGCCTGAATTACTGAACTGGCTTCGGAAAATGATCCCAGTAAAATAACATGTACGTCTCACTGTAGCTTCATCTTAATTTATACCGAAAGCACATTTTCAGGCCTTTACATTAAGTTTTAATTCAAAAACACTTTCATCTTGAAAAAGCTGTTTGGCCTGACTTGGACTTGGGCCTGTTGAAATGAACGCATCTCAGTTAGTGAGCTCCAGTGAGGACCAAAACACAGGCTTCAAGTGCCCCCTGGTGGCTGAATAACAGAATAACCAAATATAATTTGAAGTCTGGAATAAACAAGCATATGCCAAATTTCTTTCTCTGGTTGATTTATTCATTCATTCATTTAAAAGAATTTACCAAGAGTTTACTGTTAGGCACCGAGGATCGAAAGACAAATGGGGTACAGTCTGTGTCACAGAGGAGTTCATAGCATAATGAGGGACAAAATGACTACAGGTAATTTCAACACTCCCTGCTAAGTGCTATTATAGTGACTTTCTTCTATTCCAATCAAGTTATGTTGGTCTTTATTTTTGTAGGTATTCTTATGGCAATTAATACTACCTAGAAATTACTGAAAAATAAAATCAGCTATTTCCCACACAAGTGTAATTCATGTATCTTCATCTAGAAAACATCTAGTAAATGATTATATCTTTCTAGAGTTTTTCCTAGGAGTAACATGAATCCATATTGCTTTTTCTGGGTATCCACTTTGCTTCCTATGATTATCTTATTAATAATATTTACAGTTTTTTCATTATTTTAATTTTTGCCAGGTCAGCATTATCAAGTCATTAAGCAGATGAGGAAACTGAGGCAGAAGAGTCAGTCTTACCTGATAATTCAGTATGATAGATGAGACTAGAACTTGAATTGTCTGATTGCACCTGTTAGTTTTCTTGATAGATTCATCCATTGACTTTTGTGTGGTTTCTAAAGGTAAACACGAGGGGTTTTATGAAGTCACTCAGTAACATGAGACAGCCATTTACCAGAAGGGTTAAAACACACACGTACACATTGGATCATTCCAACACCACCTACTGAGCAGCTGTCACAATTCTCTTGAGCTGGAATGGAGCCTTTTATCAAGTTATGAAAAGTCTCATATCCAATTACCAACCCCCAGCAACACCCAGGTCCTGGCTTGGCAGCGCTCAACCAGGTGATACACTTGTAATGCCAAAGCAAAGTGATTATATAAATAATTTAGTTGGGTCTTTAATCCTATATAACAGAAGCTTACAGTAATCCCAATTAGTATTGTACTCACCCAGTGCAGTCATGTAACAGTAACCTCCTATTGAATTTCCAACATTGAGCATGACAGGGTACAAGGTTTTGAAAGAATATATTCCTAGTGTACATAAATGAATGACGTGAGTCAGAATGTTCACAAAGTTGGTTCATCTGAAAGATATCAATGGTTCAAGACATTTCTAAGATGTCAAAAAACCCTAGAGGTGGTGGCGAGTTCTCTGCACTGTCACTTTAAAGCTATGCTCTTTAGTATTTTGAATTACTATGAAGTATTATCAGTTCAGCTATTTTTTTGCTCCATTTCAAAATATTTTCATTTTATCATATTTGTTGAGCTATTAAAATAGTATCTCTGAGCAATTCTTGGTTTGCTTGCATATACAGTACTATGAAATATGAACTACCCATTGGTTTTAATAAGACTGTTTCCTTTTTGATAATGGGTAGCAGAATGATGAATGTTAACTATTATTACTTTAGATCATGGCTTTAGAAGAGATGAAGTGAAACAAACAACTCTTTTGGGGAGTTTTTGAAATTGTGTGTGTCTTACGTTCAAAATTTACATAATTAAATCCAGTTTGTTCAGACTATACTTAAAACACAAATTCAACAGAAAAATAAAATGTATCTCTGGAACACGAACCAAAAATTAACGTTAATCCTTTCCTCAACTACACCCAATTGTATTGTTTACCTTCGTGTTCCCATAATGATCATCCACTGGTTCATCCGTATATTCATTTCCTCGTCCATTCATCCACAAGTAAGTATAATATGAAGTAAAAAAAAGTCGTTTCCTCCTCTCCAGGAGGTGCATGCAAAAGTTAAAAAAGCACTGTGTTGAGAAATTACCCACAAGTGCTTCTTATAGAAAAACAGTGGTGAGGAATCTAAATCAAACAGAAAAATGGCAGAATGTTTTAACAATTCAAAGACTCTTTCTAGGTTGATGGATTTTCACAGGTATTGAGAGATGAAACAACTTGATACTTTTGGGGACTCTTAACTAGAGAAATAAGTAAATGTCAGATCAAGCAGGGCCTAGCTGCTACGGCTGAGCTTGAATTTTACCCTGAAAACTAAGAGAGCCATTGGGCAATTTCAAGTAGGGGAATAAACTGACCAGGCTTGCATTTTAGTAAGGTCACTTAGGCAACACTGTGGAAGATATTGGAGGAGGCCTAGAACAACAACGCAAGGAAATATTAGGAGACTACTGCACTAATCTGGGCTTGAACTAAGGCAGTTAAGAGGACAAGGAGTGGACAACTCACAGCCTTGCTACACTCAATAGTGGTCCTTGACTAGCAGCGTGAGCATGGACTGGCAGCTTGTCAGAAATCTTGTGCCATATCCCTTACCTTCAGAACCAGTATTTTAACAAGCTTCTCGGGGAATCTGTATGTCTGGGAGGTACCACTCACAGAGACAAGGAACACAGAAGGGGCAGTTACTAGAGGAAATAAAATCACTATATTAGGTATGGTCAGTTTGAAGTGTTTATGTAACATCCAAGAAAGCTGATCCACAGCAGTTGGGTATACGGTCTGGAGGCTGGCTTGAAGTCTGGTTTGGAGATGCAATTTACCATTTATCAATCTGTTAGCATTTGAAGCCATGGTCCGACCCAAGTTTCCTGGTATTTGCCCAGGAAAAGTGTATCATTTGTCAGACAGAGGGCCAAGGAAGGAGCCCTAGAAACACCATTATTTAAAGCCGCATACAGCAAAAGGTACTTCACAAGAATCAGAAGGAACATCCAGTGGTAGGAAGAAACAATGTGAGGAATGGCAAGAAAGTTCCAAGTGGCAGGATGGTCATCATTCTCATTTTCCAGCGGAGATCACATAAGAACAGACAAGAGTCCATTGGATTTGGCAATCTTGATGTCAGAGTAAAGCTATGGGTGGAGATTATTTCTCATTAAGTTCTTTCTTGACCTTAGTATGTGAGGATGCAATTTAGTTTCTGCTTTCAAAGTTCAGATCAGTAGAATATGTGAGAGGAGCTTGGTATGGAGCCAGTTTGCAAGTGTTCTCTCTTCCAATAGGATGGTAAATTCTTTGAGGAATAAGGAAGGCACATAAAGATGAGTAAGACCCAGTCCTAACCCTCAGAGTTTATAACAAATAAGAAATAAGACAACAGTAGTACAAGATGGGACATTATAAAATATCATAGGGATTCAAAAGAGGAATACACCACATCCAGACAATCAGAAGAGGCTGCTTACTTCTCCTCAGTTATAGCACAGAGATTTGCATACTTAAAACTATATTAATTGCTTTCTCTCAACAAATGTGGTGAATTATTTAAAAAGTCCCATTTATTCCAAAATCCAAGGAAACTTCAAACTCATTCATGAGATATTTATTAAAATAACACATTTAGGGAAAAAATCAATACAATGTATACATCATTACTGAAAACTGTATACCATCATACAAAAAAGGATTTTATTTTGGGAAACTGATTCCTAATTTATGGCAAGTGTTACTTTCAGAAATAAAACCACAAAATGACACAATCTAATTCAATCTTAAAGGCTGGCATGCTGAGCAAGGAATGTTCTTATTCTTTGTAGGAGTTCCTTCTTTACACTGTCAGGTACCAGGGCTGAAATATAAAAATAAAAATATAAGAGTAAGAAGATTCCAATTAATATATGTCAACTTGAGATTTGATATCTTATTCAGGATTACTAGTAAAAAATTTTAATAATCCTCATACTTCAATAAAAAATTGGTAAGGATATCTGAAATAAAGAATATTTGCAATTCACTATTTGAATGAACTATCCAATACCTAAATACATTGCACACTGATAAGAAAACATGGGAAAACTCTTTAAACTGGGAGTAGGGAAGGCCTTTTTAAAAACAGGCTGTAAGAGATTGATAAATTTGATTTAAACCCATAACCACTACTTAAGCTTAGCCAAAATCACCATAAACAAAGTCAAATGATAAAAACGGGGAGAAACGGGCTAATCTCTCTACTATACAATTTTTTCAAATTGATAAGCAAAAGATCAGCAGGCTAAGAGAAAAATGAGCAAAGGAGGTGAAGAAAAGGAGAAACACATAGTTCTTGAACATAAGAGGGGCTTAACCTAAGAGAAATAAAAATTAAAACCACATTCAGATAGCATGTTTTATCAATCAGACTGACTAACATCCAAACGTCAATAATACACTGTGTTGGCAAGACTGAGGGAGAACTGGAACTCTCACATTAGCTGGTGGGAGTATAAACTGGCACAACATTTTTGGGAAGGAAATTTGGCAATATTCTATTGAAATAAATGCACACTCTCTGACTCAGCAAAGATGCAAACACTGCAACAGTAGTTATGCTATATTTTCACTTTTTGAATTTTGAACCATATGACTGTATTATCTAAAGTGTTCAATAAAAACAAAAAAAACACCCCGCTTTCTGAAATTTTAATTAATATTAAATGTCAATAAACAAATCTTCACTAATGTTTTTCCTTTTTTGGCTACTAATAAATAAGGACAATAGGGAATTCATTGAAACTTCTACTCTTATTTGCTGGTATCCAGAGGAAACGAAAAACTTCAGATACATTCAATATTTCTATAAAGAATTCCAAAAATAAGTACACAAATCAAATCAGACAGATACCCCTCTTTATAAATTGTTTAGTTTAAGCCTGCCCAGAAATAAAGATTACATAATTCAAGTCCACTGAAATGTGATCAATATGTATAATAAACACACCTTCAATCAAAATTATGGTGATCAAGAATAGATCAGCTGCCTGGGGGTTAGGATAGGGTGTGATTATCAAGGGACAGCCTGAGGGAGTTTTTTTGGGGTGGTGATTACATGAATCTACACATGCGCACAAAATTCACAGAACTACACACTAAAAAAAGGTCAATTTTACTAAGTAGGTTAACTTAAAAAAATAAAATAAAAACTTCTCTTGACAATAAAAAGACTAAAAACATAAAAGAAAATATTTATTTTTACTTCTCTTTTCTTTTCTTGCTCCTTCTCTAGCAGGGGAGCTACAAGAGACTGAAATGTTCAAGACACCAATGTTGAAGGAGAAGCAAAAGACAATTTCTACCCTATATAACCAGTTCCTAAATGTTAACAGATTAAGCATAAATTACAGAAGAAAAATAGAAAAAGAAATTAACAAAAATTATTTTAAAATATAAATTCACAGGGGAACAATAAATACTGTTGGTTTTTTTCTTCCTTTCCCTGACACATTCTTGACAAAAAAGTCACATTTTTTAGCTGTAGCCAGGCCTAAAGAGATGGATGGAAAGGACCACGGGGTTCTGTAGCTCCTCCCCAGCAGGTAGCAGTTCAAGGAATTAGTATTTTCTAGTAATAGTTTTCAAACTTATTTACTTTTCACACAATTCTTTTTACTATTTCTGTGCGAGAAAACAACTAATGGGTCATCTAATTTATCTGCTTCCACTTTAACTACAAAAAAAAACTTCCTCGAAACAAATGAAAATAATGTAGCTATATCTAACAATATGAGGTAGTTCCTGATTTAATATTTATTACACATCATCAGTGTTAATATAATATTTCCTCTCTTTCCTTTGCCTTCTGTAAACAAAGCATTAAAGGGAGAAATTAAGAAGGTGGCTGTAGTGTGGGTCTTAAATATGGACTACCTTGAACACGGAGTTATGGAGCTATCAAATTCTTAATTAGACATTCAAGAAGACAGAGCTGTGTTTATTTTTAATAAGACAGGAGATAGCAGAGCAATCACTCAGGGGCTGGAGTAAACTTTGAATTATTAAAAATTTAAGTGGAGTCTTGCCATATCTGATAAAGTTTATAAATCCTAGCTTTCGATATTTGCATCTACAAAATACCATATTTTAAAAATTATCTGTCTTAACCATATCAACTTACATTTGTATACTGTTTTAAAGTGCAAGAACATTTTATACCTTTTATCTTATTTGTTACTTGAGACCATTCTAGAAATGCAGGTAGGCACTTATAACTCTTTCCACATGAGGAGATGCAAGTACCCAAACAATTCTAGAAAAAGTGCTTTTCCTTGTAAAAAGAAAGAAAAGCTGAACCAGCAAGAAAGAAAAAGAAACTCATGTCTTTAGCACACGTTTCCTTTCACACAATATGTATCCCTTACCTCTGCCTTTTGGTGTGATTTCAGCCACCAAGTCATCAACAGTAACGTGTTCTAGTCCTTTTTCTTTAATTACCTCTTATGCAAAAGCAAAAAACAAATCATATCATTTAAAATCATTATCTGTAAGAAAGATTTTCATAGAGGAAGGGTTAAGATCATGTTTTTAGAGTGCAGACTGGTCTTTAACAAAAAAAGAGGACACTTCTTTTTTTCTTTTCTAATGAAGATTTAGTTCATCCTTAAACACATTAAGTATTCACCAGATCAAAAACATAAAAGCCTGTTCATCTCTCAGCTAAATAACCTGTAACTTCACAAATAATTATAACACTAAGAATAAATTTGAACTGTAATTTCAAATCTAACATTTGTAAAAAGCTTGAAACTTATAACCACACAGATCTTATCTGATTATCATCATACCAGCTCTTAAATGTATGGATGGGGAAAAAAAGCTATTATTTGAGTCTAACTTGTAATTTCATAGCCCAAAATTAAAATATAGAACAACTCTTTTGCTCCTTTCTCTTCTCTAGGCTGGGCCGAAAGACAGAGAAGAGAGAAAGCAGTTAACATGTACTGGACGCCTATCATGAGCTGGGTGCTTTACATCATTTACTAGCCACAATAATCTAACGGGCGGGCATTTCTCCCACTTCACAGGTGAGACAACTGAAGCCTAAAGATGAAATAACTCATCAAACATGAGTTAAAATCCAGCTCTAGTCTTTTACCAGTGAAGGTCTGTATGACCTCAAAGCCTATGCTTTTACTAATTTGCCACACTGCCTTCTTAGGGGTAATGTTATAAATAGTCTCTATTATCATTATTATTTATAGAAACCACTACAACACAATGGGAATTCATTAAAAATAATCACAATGCCATCATACTAAAAGGTGAGCCAGAAAGTAACGAGGCTCATCTTAGTGACGTATAATCTATTTAGTGGTATCAATACCCAGCAATTTAACAAGCTTTCATTCTACACTTTTAAAAATAAGCGTAGTTCTCTAAGAGCTTTTATACATGAATTTTTCAAAATAACCCTGTTAAGACAGGAGATACAATTCCTTTAAGTCTGCCAATCATGAAGTGATCAATTTGTTTTAAATTAAACCATATTAGGAATAACTCATGTTTCCCTTTGAGGAGGCACACTGGAAAAGGTGGGTGGGATTCCATATTTTGAAGTCAGAGAAAATCTTGCCTCACTTGTTTTAAGAGAAACAAAAAGAAAATTTCTAACAATTTAGGAACTATGTCTACGTATTATTACCAAGAGGAGGAAATGATTACTACAAGATTCCATTTTCTATTTGTTTTAAATTATGCCTGAGCACTCAATATACCTTAAAATACTGACTATAATTTTTCTGGTGAACCCCAAATCTACACAGTTGGGAGCAATGGAATTAGCTTATCCTCCAAATGAAACTGATTACCTTTACAGTGGGCCTTCAACTGATCCTTCCAGCCACATTCAATTAATTTAGCTCTCAGCAACTCTTTGAGACTGTTGAAAAAGAAGTGTTCTCAAATTAAACTACAACAATGTACAATATCTTACTTGGATAGCAATGTTTGAAGCAAAGGTTCAACTATTCAATTAAATACCCCCCACCTTCTAGTCACAAAACTTTAACGGTGGCCTAATCTTGGGTCTATCACTAAATACTTCTTCGATCTTATGCAAATCATTTAAACTCTGGGCCTCATTTCTGTCATCAGGAAAATTAAATGAAGTGGGTGGGGCACAATAATTCTCAAGAAACTCTACTCTCTGGCCTTCTTACACACTTTCTACTTCCCTCTACCAACAGGAATACTGTGGGTCCTGTATAACTTCTCGAGGGTATTAGTTGAGCTTGGGTCAGCTGCACCTCTGAAATCTTCAAACTCCATTCTTTGACTACAAACACTCACCCTTTAGCTCTCTTACTTCCCCAATATAACTCTCTCTAACCTCACAGACCTCCCTCTCCCTTTTTCCCACTAACCTTCTAAGTTACACATTAACTATGGTATTTCACTGAGTCTAACACCTTTTTGTGTGTGTGTGTGTGTGTGTGTCTGAGGAAGCTTGGCCATAAGCTAACACTCGTTGCCAATCTTCCTCTTTTTGCTGAGGAAGATTGGCCCTGAGCTAACATCTGTGCCCATCTTCCTCTATTTTGTATATACGACAGCTCTACAGCATGGCTTGATGAGTGGTATGTCTGTCCCCACCCGGGATCCGAACCTGTGAACCCCGGGCCGCTGAAGCGCAGTGTGTGAACTTAACCACTATGCCACCGGGCTGGCCCTGAATCTAACACCTTTTTTCCACATTTTAACAATTAAGTAATTGGCATGCCTATTCTAAGTTAATTAAGAAAACAAGTGTTTTCTTGTTTCTTATTGATAAAAAATAAAAAGGTGTATATTGCAACTAATGGCATCATGGATGCAATAAAATATTTTATCAGTACTTTATCTTTTTGTCATACCCCCCTTATAAATCCTCAATCTTCAATTTAAATCATCTAATTTCTCAGCTTAAACATGTCATGTCCCAAACCACACCGCTTCTCTCAATATTCCTATATATCCACTATGTGACATATCCATCTTGATATTTAATTAGGCCTTTCCATCTCAACAGGGCCAAAACCCAACTCTCGCTTCTCTCCCACCTCAACCTGTTCTTCTTGTCAGAATGGTGACTCCATTCTTCTGGTTCCTCAGGCTAGAAACCTTGGCAGCGTCCTTCACTCAACAACTTTGTTAACACTACACATCCAATCCATGAGCAAATCCTATTGGTTCCAGTTTTAAAATACATACCTACAATCCAAATGTTTTTTACCATCTCTGCCACTACTACCCTAGTTCAGCCACCATCGTGTCTTGACAGGACTGTTACCAAAGCCTCCTAACTTGTCCCCCTGCTGCTTCTCTCGTACACTTCATTCTCCTCCCCCTGCTCAAAACCTTCCAGTGGCTTCCCAATTTACTCAGAATAAAATTCCAAGTCTTAACTACAGCTTGAATGACCCTCCAGGATCTGCCCCCTCCCCAGCTATGCCTGACTTTTATCTTTTCCCTCCCTCTCCCAATTTACGCAGTCCCATTAGCTTCCACGTGCTCCCCCAACTGCCAGGCAAGCTCCTATCTCAGGATCTTGGCTCCTGAAGTCTCCCCACCTCCCTCATATCCTTCTGATCTCCTATCAGTGAAGCCTTTTTTTGTTTTTTTTTTCCTATCCAAAATAACACACCCCATTATTCCTGCTTTATTTTTCCTCTAGGACTCATCACCATCTGACACATTACACATTTAGTGTCTGTCTCCTCCCATTAGAATGTAAGCTCCATGAAAGAACAGACTTCATTTTGTTCACTACTGTATCTTCAGCATCTTAATAGGACATGGCATGTGGTAGAAATTCAATAACTTTAAGCTACATGAATGAAAACAGAAATAAAAAACAATATATAATCCCCTATACTCATTACTGGCAACACAACCCTCTCAGTTTCCCAAGGCACTGTTCTAGATGCCACCTTCTTCCTCATTCCTCACATTAAGGGCTGCTGATTTTACTTTTAAAAAAAATTGTTAAGTTCTCCTTTCATTTTTGCTGTTTCTCATTTTTAACCCAATATAATCTTCTCATACATTCTCCTGCCCTCTATCTCTAGCCCTTCAAGTGGATCCTCCACACTGTCAGCATAACATTCCTAAAGTGCAAATGCCATCTAGTTATTCCCTTTCTTAAAATCTGTTAATGCTCCCACCACCTAAGGATAAAATCAACAACAGATGTTTTTGCAAACCCACCACCCGTTTTCTTGCCCTTTTTTGACAGAAAAAAAAAAACAAAAAAAACACTCCACCACTCTCAGTGTAAGAAATTTGGAAAGGGTTCTAGCAATGGAAATGTGACCTAGGCAAGGGTCATCATAACTGGCCTATTACCTAAGTCAGATGGTAACCAAGCTAGGCCTGAAACTACTAGGAGGAAAGTAGTCCGGGCTGGAGTAATGTAAATTTCGAACAGCTAATCTCTGCTTTGCCACCTTGTGGGAAGAGCCTGCTTGAGAATAAAGCCAACACAGAGGAAAGTAGAGCTGAGAGAGGAAAAGAAAGACATATTCTTGACAATTTTTGAGTTCCTGGACTCAGAGGTACCTGAAGCAATTTCAAGCTCTAGACTTTTTAGTTAGATGAGCTTATATATTTCCCTTGGTTAAGCCAGTTTCTGCGTTCAGTTTCTATCATTTTTACTGAAAAAATTCTGACTTATACAAAATCCACACTCCTGTCCACTGTTCCAGCCACACAGCTTTCACACTTCACACTCTAGCTTTAATTTTGTAGTTCCCCAAAACATCATCATGTCATAACAAATCTCTGTGATTTTGCACATTCTGTTCCATCTGCCCAGACCGTCTTCTCTCCTTCCTTTATCGGCTTGGAGAACTGATAATCCTTCTCCCCTAGCTGAAGCACCTCTTTTACTATTCTGTGAGACCTTAACAGATCACCTTAACCCCCAGGTGGAGCTGAAAGCTCCCTTCTGCTCCTTATATATAGTTTTCTCATACAACTTATCTCCCTGGTTCTGGAAGACTTTCTTGATTCCTTAACCTGTCCTTTGTACTTCCAAACCTGTATATTCTTCAAATATTTACTTGGCCAATTATGTGCCAGGCATGATGCTTGGTATACAATGGTATTTCCACTGCCAGGAAACTTAGATTATATTGGAGGATACAAACTAGCAAAGTAGCTGGTTACAATGCAATGTGATTAAATGGTATGACAGAACAAGATACCTAGAAGTGATGATATTTAAATTAACACCTGAAAAATGAGCTAGAATTAGCTCAAGATGAGGGGAAGGAAGAGGAATGTTTCAGAAAGCAGGAACAGTACATGCTTCTCTGAGGTTAAGAGAGCTTGGTAACTGACACGAGTTCTATCATGTTGTCTCCGTTAAAACCTGGGTAACATTATGTCTTCAACTGTAGTTATTTGGGTATTTTTCTTCTCTATTAAATATCCTTTGAAAGACTGTCATTTCTTGTTCATCTTTCTACATCACCCACTTCCTTCCAAGTCTTACAATACTGAACAGAGCTAACTATTTTTATAGATGTTAGGAACTGAAGCTTTTGATGATCTCAATTTTCTGTAATTCTTTCCACTGACATGAGTTTTGTTCCTTGATATTTAGATTCTTATATATAATGTAACTATAATTTAAAGAAGTTAAATATAATTTATGAACACAATCTATTACTTACCGTTCTCTTTCTCCAGTTTCTATCAACTTTTGGTTAATCGCTGCTCTCATCTGCGCATCTTTGTTCATCTTGCTAACCTGAACATCAACACGTATTTTCAGATATAGAACACTTACAAAGCCTTTTCTTCTAAATCCTCTAGGCAAGCCTCCCAACACACTTAACATACATTCTATCAAATGAAGGGGTGATAAATTTCAACAATGTGTTAACAGTGTCACTACTTTTAATATTATTTACTATATCCCAAGAAGTCATACTGATGAACTCACTTTACAATTTTCTTCCCCCATATACCCTTATTAAGGAGTCTTTGGGTAATAATAATTATCGTAACATTTATTAAACACTTATGTGCTTGGTACTGGGCTAACATATTGGTTTTTTATCTCACTTAATTCCCAGACCTTATTCTTTTATGTAAATATTATTAACATACTTTGTATTTTACAGATGAGGAAACTGAGGCACCAAGATAAAAAGTGGTGAAGGCAGAATTTGAACTCAGGTACTTTGAACCCAGAAGCCCCAAAACACTTTAACAGCACATCATAACTGACTGTTAATCATTTCTGCACCTTAACTGCACTCAAAATTTTGAGGAAGCCATATAACCTAAACATCAGTAAAAAATTAAGCACGGAATTTCCAGATAAGGCCCAAAGTGCTTTACTTGACTACTTTTCACTAGGATGTAGCCAGAATTACAACTGCCAAACTAACTTGAAGTGTGTGTGTGTCCATGCTCTTTACCAAAGCTTGCTGGTGGGATAAGGGGAAAACAAATGACAAAAACGAATTCCTAACTTAGAAAATTCTCAATTTTCAGTAAAAACAGACAACCAAAACCAAAATGGTATAGAAAAGAGAAGAAGGTTAGATTGTAAAACTTGGAATAAGCTAATGTTATTCCACCTAATCTGTCACTAACTTGAGACTACTTTTGTGTCGTCTCCCATCTCCCCTATATGAAAACTCAAGATGGCAATGAGTTTTCAGAGTTGGAAAAAATTGTTTTTTCTTTTTTTGAGTGGAACAAGAAAAAGTAGGGGTTGGGAAAAGACTAGGAAATGTTCGGTTTTGTAGTTGGAGGCTAACATTTTCAAAATAATTCTAAGGTCTAGCCAGTACCATTCCTAGAATATTGAACTTGATCTCGCCTTGGCCCCTAAAATACGGATAGTGACCTTGGACAAGTCAATTCTTAAAGGCCTCAGTTTTCTCACTGGTAAAACCAGGGCGCTAGGGGATCCCTCCCAATTCAGACATTCTTTGGGAAAATAGAAGAGGGCGGAGACGGCGGGAGGGGAGGAGCCAGAAAACAAAGCGAGGACTGGCTTCAGGCCAACTCCGGTAGCACGCCCTGTCGGAGAGCCCTACAGGCCCGCGAGCGCGGGTCGGGGAAGCTAACCAAAGACAGCACATCGAAAGGAGCCTGGGCTGGGCCCGGGTCCCGGCCCTGAGGACCACGGGCATAGCTCACCACCATCACCGCGGGCGAGGGCCGTCCCTTCCCAGCGACGAAATGACCCTTGCGCTGACGACCGTTACCTACCACACTTCGGCTGCCCGGACTTAGACCCTCAGTAGCTCGGGCACCTAAGCACACAGAAAGCTAGAACACGCACTTCCGGGGCGGGGTCTCCCCACCCTGCCTATAATGTGAGAATTTAACCAGCGCGGGCCGCCTCCTGGCCGCTCAGCCCTCTGGGTAACAGAGTCCAGACCCTGCTGTCGCGCACGCGTTCAAGTCCCCGGAAAACTACATAGCCCAGCATGCAACAGAGTCAACTTTCTCACGGGCACTACATTTCCCAGAAGGCATTTTGCACCGCAGTGTTTTCTGGGATGGGAGCCACGCCGCCTCCCTGCCTCGATGCTACGAGTGAAGCGCGGACCTTTTAACAAGAGCTTTATTAATTCTCACGCTAGGACCCTGAAAGGCGATGGAGGTGGCCGCTAACTGCTCCCTGCGAGTGAAGAGACCTCTGTTGGATCCCCGCTTCGAGGGTTACAAGCTCTCCCTCGAGCCGCTGCCCTGTTACCAGCTGGAGCTTGACGCAGGTGGGAAGCGGCGGCGCCCCCTCGCACTCTGTTCCTGTCCCCTTTCGGCTGCTATCGGCCCGACCCTTCCTGAATTTTCTTCCTTTCTGACTCGGGCAAGCAAAGCGACCGGGGCCTTTCTCACAGCCCGTTGGGCTGGGGTGGACCCAGGGTGGCCGCCTCTGGAGAAGGATACCCATCCCGGAACCCCGTGGGAGCCGCCTTCGCGCGGCTCTTCCTTAGCGGGACCTTGGGTTGGTTTTCGGCTCGGCCGCCCGGGCTCCGAGGTCCGGCACGCGGCTCCTGCCTGGGCTCCAGCCGCCTCTCCGTCCCCGGCCTGACCCCTGCTGCGGAGAAAGCTCAGGACATGCTTTCCACCTGGAGCATTCTCTGTAAACTTGTGCGTTGAGAAGCCACACCTCTTTGGAGGACCCCTAGCTCGTTTCCTCTGGCCGAGACCCATTTCTTAGAAAAGAAACTCCATTGCAGTTCAGAGCACTTTGAATTACCTAGGTGCTATCAGACTAAGGACTTTTGTCAGCGAAACCAGTCTACTCAAGATTATGACTTATCCATTGCCACCAATCATGGTTATCTCTTACCTGAATTATAGTAGGTTCCAGATTAGCCTTCCTGCCTTCGTTTTGGGGCTCCTTCATTCCGTTTTCCGTAAGGCAGTACTTATCAGAGTTTTTAATTCTGTATTTATTTGATTTCGTTTTCTCCACTAGACTGTGAGCTGCATGAAGACAGTGATGTTCCTCTTTTGCTGCCTGCTGTATCCCAAGTGCTTGCATAGTGGGTACTCAGTAAATTGAGTGAATGAAGAAGAGAAGGAGTTGTAGATGAGGTCTTTCTACTCGTGGGAAAGATGAACAAAGGGAAAAAATTAGGTTGTGTGCAGGACACTATTGCGGTCCTGTATTGCCAGAGCAAAAAATCTGGGAAAGAGAAAGGACACAGATAGGTGAGGGAACTGTTTGTCTTTTGGACTTTATCGTGTAAGTCAGTGTTTCCCAGACTTTTTCATGGGCCATTACAATAAAAAAATAAAGCTTAGCTGCCATAGATTTGCCAACTTTTTAATTTGCTAAGTGGAGATGTTTCTTAAAAACTATCTTGTACTCACCCATCCTTTCATAAACAAAAGGATATTTTAAACACCAAAAAGGCAGGAAGCAAAATCTCATAATAAATAGTCCTCTAAGTTGAATACATTAACTTTATGAAAAACTCACTAAATTGTCCTTTTTCTCCCCTGGTGTCAGCAGTGTTGGTCTTAGGTTCTGTGTTTGGGATGCACAATTAGAGGTGTTGAGGTGCCATTTAGAGTTTTAAGTATAGAAGAGAAATGACAGATTTGGGGACTCTTAGACTCTGTGGAGGTTGAGTTTGGAAGACGAAAGGAATAGAGACATGGAGACCAGTTTGGAGGCTTTTGCAATAGTTCATGTGAGGGGCTTTCATTAAAAATTACTTGGGCAGCTGGTCCTGATGGCCTGGTGGTTAAAGTTCGGCCCACTCCAGCGGCCCCGGTTTGGTTCAGGGTGCAGAACCACAACACTCCTCTGTCAGTAGCCATGCTGTGGGGGTGGCTCACATAAATGAACTAGAAAGATTTACAACTAGAATATACAACTATGTACTGGGGCTTTGCAGAGGAACAAAAAAGAGAGAGAGGAAGATTGGCAACAGATTTAGCTCAGCACGAATGTTTCCCAGCAAAAAAAAAAAAAATAGGGGATGATGATGAAGAGGTTAATTCTTTTAAAAGCTGTCATTTCTAGAGATAGATGTGATGGAGGAGCCCTCCTGACAATTTGATTTCTTTTATATTAACCTAAGGATTCACATTAATTCAGGAAACCATTGGTGGGCACCTCTGGCATGTGAAGCTCTGCATTTAGGATGTGAGGATGATGACATGGTCTCTGATCTCAGAGCTTGGAGCAGTGAGTTTTATTCTCTTGTCTTAAATAATGTTATTAAATTGTTCTAAAATTCCCTCTGCTACATAAACAGTAAGTGTGACTTTGTCTTTTTCTATTCCAAAGAACTAAGCAAAAAAACCGTTTTTATAAAATTGTAATTGCCTTTTGACCCAGCAATTCTATTTCTGGGCATTTATCTCATAGATATTTTTTCCCTAGAATCTTCATTCAGTAAACATCTTTGTATATATGTTCCCCCTATATTTCACCTAGCTAACTCATACTCCATTCTGTCATCTTGGTTTACATGTTAGTTACTCAGAGGTTCCTTTCTGGACTACCTAGTTAGAATCTATACTATAGAATCTGTACAAATTAGAGTCTGTGCTGTACTTTCCCACGGTACCGGCACTTTGTAGATTTTATCACACTTTGTAGCATTTGGTGTCTGTTTTCTCTGCTAAGACTATTAGTTCTGTATTAATGGGTTCTGTGTCCATCTTTTTCAATGCTTTATGTGTAGGGCTGGAGCATGCCTGTGAATAATAGATGATTATATACCACATGCACACATTAAACAGCTTTACTGAGATAGAATTGACAATAAACTGCACATATTGTACAGTTTGACAAGTTTTGATGTATGTATGCACTCATGAAGTCATCACCACAGTCAAGATTTTAAACTTAGCGGTCATCGCCCAAAGTTCCCTGTGCCTTTCTGTAACCAAGCCGTCTGTTTCCTCCCAGGGGAGGAAACCCTAAGCAATTACTGATCTGCTTTTTGCCACTACAGATTAGTTTGCATTTTCTAGAGTTTTATATACATGGGTCATATAGTATCTACTCTTTTGGTCTGGCTTCTTTTATTCAGCATTATTACTTTGAGTTCATCCTTGTTGTGTGAGGGAGGGATGTTGAAACCTCTGACTATAATTGTGGATTTTCTGTTTCTCCTTGCAGTTCTATCAGTTTTTGCTTCATATATTTTGAAGCTCTGATATATTGTATAATTTATTGATTATTGTGTCCTTTTGATAAATTGACCCCTTTATCATTATGGAATAACCTCCTTTATCCTTGGTGATGGTCATTGGTGTGAAAACTACTGATATTAAAATGGTCACTCCAGCTTTCTTTTGATTAGTGTTACCATAGTGTATATATATTTTTATATCCTTTTTACTTTTAACTTATTTGTGTCTTAGTATTTAACATGCATTTTTTTTAACATTTTTTTTTTTTCTGAGGAAGATTTGCCCTGAGCTAACGTCTGTTGCCAATCTTCCTCTTTTTGCTTGAGGAAGATTTGCCCTGACCTAACATCTGTGCCAGTCTTCCTCTGTTTTGTATGTGGGTTGTGGCCACAGCATGGCTTCCGATGAATGGTGTAGGTCTGTGCTCGGAACTGAACCCGGGCCACTGAAGGGGAGTGTGCTGAACTTAACCACTAGGCTATGGGGCCAGCCCCTAACATGCATTTTTTATTGGCAGAAATAATTGGGTCTTGCTTTTCTATTCAATCTGACAATCTCTGTCTTTAAATTAGACTGTTTACATTTAATGTGATTATTGATTTTGCTAGTTTGGGACTTTCTTCTTGCTGTTGGTATTCCATTTGCCCCATCTAGTCTTTGGAAAAATGGAATTTTCTCACTTTTCTGCCTTCTTTTGGATTGAGTATTATTATTATTATTTTTTTTTGTGTGTGAGGAAGATCGGCCCTGAGCTAACATCTGCCAATCCTCCTCTTTTTGCTGAGGAAGACTGGCCCTGGGCTAATATCCATGCCCATCTTCCTCCACTTTATATGGGACGCCTGCCACAGCATGGTTTGACAAGCGGTGCGTCGGTGTGCGCCTGGGATCCGAACCGGCGAATCCCGGGCCGGCCTCTTAAGTATTTTTTATGAGTCCATTTTTATCACATTTGTTGGCTTATTAGCTATAGTTCTTTGTTATTTTAGTGGTTGCTTTAGGGTTTATAGTATACATTTTTAACTTATTACATGATACAGTCAATTGATATTACACTACTTCATGTGTAGTTTAAGAACCTTACAGTAGTATACTTCCATTTCTCTCTTCCTGGCCTTTATGCTATTGTTGTCATGCATTTTACTTTTACATATTAGTATAAACTCACAATACATTGTTGTTATTTTTGTTTAAATAGTTAATTATCTCTTAAAGAGATTTAAGTAAGAGAAGTCTTATGTATTTACTTACATGTAGTTGCCATTTTTGGTGCTCTTCATTCTGTTATGCAGATTTGTATTTTTATCTGTATGATTTTCTTCCTACCTGAAGAACTTTTAATATTTTTGTAGTTTAGGTCTTCTGGTGATGAAATTTTTCACCTTTTGTATACAGTCATGTGCCACATAACGACATTTCAGTCAATGATGCACCACGTATACAATGGTGGTCCCATAACATTAGTACCATGTAAACTAGGTAGTAGGCTATACCATCTAGGTTTGTGTAAGTACACTCTGATGTTCGCGAAACAACGAAATCACCTAACAACACATTTCTCAGAACGTATCCCTGTCGTTAAGTGGCACATAACTGTATCTGAAAACATTTTTATTTTGCCTTGGTTTTCAAAAGATGTTTTTGCCATGTGTAGAATTCTACATTGACAGTTCTTTTCTTCCAGTACTTAAAGGTGTTGCCCCACTGTCTTCTTACTTGTATTGCTTCTGATGAGAAATCTGATGTTATCCTGTCTTTGTTCTTTTATATATAGCATGTCTTTTTTCTCTGGCTCCTTTTAAGATTTTTCTCTTTTACATTGGTTTTGAGCAGTTTGATTGTGTTGTAGCTTGGTGTGGTTTTCCTCATGATTCTTCTGCTTAGGGTCTTGAGCTTCCTGGATTTGTGAGTTTATAGTTGGAAAGTTTTCAGCCATCATTTCTGCCAATTATTTTTCCTCTCTCTTGTCTCCTTGGAGGACTCTAGGTACCCGTTTTTAGATTGCTAGAAGTTGACCCCAGCTCGTCAATGCTCTTTTCATATATCTTTTCATTCTTTTTTTCCCTCTGTTTTTATTTTGCATAGTTTCTATTTTCATGCCTTTAATTTCACT